TAGAGCACTGTTTAGGACTAAACGCACTAGTTTTTAATTTTATATGTATTCATGGAATTGGCGTGCAGCTTTTTCTTTTTTACTTTTGTACGCGAATTTTTAAATTTAGGTAATGGATTTGTATATCTGGAAGTACTGGGATGCGGAGGAGAGAACAGGATCGTTCAAATGGTTGAATTATCCGATTGCTGCCTCACATCATCTCACCAATGCATTACTTGCGGGCGAAAAAAGCTGCAAAGTGAGCGTTGCAGGGCGTCAGTTCCTCGTTGACTTTGTGACAATGAGCCAACAGAATTTGGACACACGCATTGAGCGACCAATTATGATCACTGGTCGACTGAAGAAAGGAATCCGCTGGGACAGAGCATTCCGCAAGGTTTCTCTCTTATTTGTTCTGAATGTTGTTCCAACATCCATCTATGAAATTTCTGTGTTACGACTGATTTTTTACTATTTTTAATTATTCAGAGTGACGCATTTGAAGAATGGGAGGAATTTTTGCGTGAACGCCTGGTGATTTCGACCGTTACACTCCTTCGTTTGGAGAATATCGATGAAAGCACGGTCCATGCCATTCTCATATTGGTTACGCGTATTACAAGGGATTTCAAAATTGCAAACACATTCTTGGAGGTATAGCATGCAGTTTTATAAATTTGATGCTCGAAACGACTTCGCGGAATGATTTTCTTAAAAAGCGCAATTTGCAGCATGAAGGCATCCAGGCATTGATGAAATTGTCCGGAGTAGCGGTACCCGCTGTGGCACAGCTCGTCACCCTGATTGTTCGCCACTGCCTGGACGATGAGGTTGCTGTGGGGCAAATTTTTGAGAAGGCAATACGTACCGTTGCTGCTGGAGGCTACATGATTGCTCCTTCGATTGCTAGATGGACTAATGCTAGGTTATTCCCATGTCATTTTCAGTGTGTAACCTTAGCCCCGCGCAATTTTCGTCTTTCGCACCGAGTAAAATAGTTTGGAGACAGTATTATTGTAATTCGATGAAAATTTCACCAGTTTTCTGGATTAGTTTGGATGCATTTCGCGGTTGCAAAGTCAGTCCCGCGAAAATATGACCTTGATAGCAGCGAAAAGTTGCTTTCAGAAAATCATTGCAAGTGCTTTTTCCTTGCAGCCACTTAGTCCCCTTTGCTTTTTCCGGTTTTTTCTCTTTTTTTTAAATGCAAGTTCTTTTCAGAATACCGCAAACAACTCGTGATTGGTTGCACGCAATTCGTGTGCTCGCCCCGCTTTGTGCTCGTGAGCCAGAAATTTTCCTGATCACTATGGAGCGAGTTGCGCGGCGACAAAAAGATGAAATCACAGTTTTGCCGATGGGCCCTACGGATCCACATTTCAGGACTTGGGCCGCTCAGTCGCCCATTAAACAGGTTATCGTCGTCTCGCTGGTTACAAATTAAATTTTGATGGTAATTGGCTTGTGGCACAGCAATGTGAGATGAAGCTTTGTGTTTTTTGCAGGTTCTGGCACATCTGTTGGAGCGTACGCTCGATTTCTCGTGCGATGATTCAAGCCGTCTGGTCACACGTGCCACACTTATCAAGCTGATTGCTGAGTTGGCCAAGGGTTACAGCACAGTGGCATCATTTATAGCCGAATCGTACGAGCCCAGTGGACAACCGTTCATGGTCTCTCTTCTCGACAAATGCGTGGATTCGAAAGGCTGTAGCAACCCGGAATGTCCATCTGCGGAGGGAAGCCTATTTCTGGCCGTAAAGCAGTTTGTTGCTGCGATTGCTTCATGCAATCACTCGCCAAAGGTTGGTGCAGGCAGTTGTTCTCACTACATCGATACCTGTGCCGTTGCGTATTTTGTAATGCTTTGTTTTTGTGTTTAGGCTCAGGATGCGCTTGTTTCGGGCATTATCTCCTGTCTCCATATAGTGCTCATTGAAAACGATCCAAAATCGGTGTATGCCAAGGTTAATACTGCTGCTATTCATTTTTTTTAACAAATTGCTTTTAATAATAGTTGGGCGAAGTTCATTAGATGTGATTGTTGCAGACACGAGCACTCTCGGACCTCATCATACTGGCACGTGACTCATGTCCATCCGGCTCACAGGATAGCGTTGCACATGCAAATGCCATTCTTCGTCTGATCATCAAACGACGTGTATGCATCGAGCTCAGCCGTATTCCATGGCATTTGAATCTACAAACAAAAGAAGGAATCGAAACACTGAATCATATCATTCGAGTGCTCGAGGACATCACACGTTCCATAAACATGTTCGTTGTTTATTGCTTTTAGAAATGTCACTACAAAATACAGAAATAATTGGGGATCTATGTCTTTACAGAAAATTATGTCTTATTTATGTCTTTACAGGTGTATTTATGTCTTTACAGAGATTACAGAGGTTTACAGAGACAGAGATATATCTTTACAGAAAATATAGAGGTTTATGTCTTTTTATGCATTTTTTGCATCTGTGCAGTGCAGAAACGCATATTGTCGAGGGTATATCTGTGTTTCCGTCTATACCGATTTTTCATTTCAAGATCTGCTGAAGCTACAAGGCTGAAACTCTAGGAACTTAATCTACATGCATTTGCGAGCTCCCATTTCCAAAATGAGCGCTGTTGCCCACGTGCTTGCCACTTACGGGCTCGTCAAAGTTTTTGGCAGGTAAGCTGCTAAATTGGGAACCAAAAAAGCTAGAAAGCTCAGATTTTAAGGGGATGATTTCTGACAGTCATGTTGTCCATTCTTCTTTCCTTTAGCTAGAAACATCTGCTGGAAAAACAGTGCCGTCAGCGACAGAAACCTACGGAGAACTGTGCAAGGAGCGCATCCTAGCACCGACAGTCGGTGCGCTGGCCAATTATTTATTTTTTGTTGCAGTGTTGGGCTACCACTGGACAGAACAAGAACGCCATCACCGACCGCGCTGGACCGTGCTCGAAACGCATCGGTCACTGTGACAATTCAGAGCGCAGCCGAGAATGACGCAACCTCGGCCACTGTACCAGCACGAGATGGGACAAATCAAAATGACCAGGGAACCAGTGGCGTCGATGTTGATATTGAGCATCGCTTTGAAACCCAGGAAGTAGCTGATTTTTTATTCATTTTGCCGCTAGGCCTTACTTTCCTGTGCACTTATAATACGTGGTATTGAGGCCTGCCGCTGTTTAGTTCCAGGTAGCGGTCGATCGAGCTAGTGTGGATGAGGATTATGACGGAGAGCAACATGAAGATATCCAGGAGAGACATCCGGACGTTGATGAAGATACAAGTGAAAGTGGTGAAGATGATGATGAAGAAGCAGATGAAGATGTTGAAGTTAGTGTACTTAAACGTTGCGGATTGCTGTTTTTTTGTTTCGAGCGTGAAAATTATTCAGATAATGTTTGAATACATTCTTGGCGGCGAACGACACTTCCCCTTCTGTTTACTTCGAGATATTGCTATGTTTAATTAGAGATCCATTTGCTGGATTTTGCAGAGTGATGCAGCTGCAGTAGCAGCAGCTGCTGTGGCAGCAGCAGCAGTGGCGGCGGGTAACGAAATGGACGTAGACAATGAGTCGGAGGAGGATGAGCATGAGGAGGCCATGGAAGGTTTGTTGCTGCTTATTCGAGGGCACAGCTTATCTGCTGCCGTATATAACTTACTGTGTTCCGTAAAAACTAACTGGCGTGTGCACACAGAATCCGTCTAGCAAGGAACCAGGAGCACTCCGGTCGGCGATGGTTTGTTTCAGCTATCGGTTATTTTCGTTGAGACGCACCACTTTGGTTGTTAATGGGAAACTGTTTGCTTTTAGAAGAATGGGTGGTGAGGAACGTTGGAGAAGATGGTTGGGTGGAAATGGGATCAGCAGGTTTAAGTGGTTTTGATTTAGTTGAGAACGAAGATTTGGCATTCCCACCGGAACGCTTTGCGGATGGTGAAATTCCGGACGACTTCATGGACGCCAGTGTCTTCATAAATAACCTGGATCGCATTGAGGATCTCACTGGCACCAGTTTGCTACGTGATCCGCGTTCCCATTTCAGTTCAGGTTTGGTCTCAGTGTGTGATTTTTCGTGAAGCGCCGAAACTTACATGGAATTTAACGAAACAGCGACACTTTTTCCTTGCATTGAATGCGTGTTCTTTTCCAGGATCACTCGTCACTGCACATGGCGATCAGTCTTCAGCAACACTTCATACGCACCATCTGCTGCGCCGAGTGCAGTCATCCACTAGTGCTGTTGAAAGTGTGTCAGCACAGACGCGACCAATCGTAAGTTTCACCTCGACTTTTGAGATGACCTCAAGACTCCCTTGCCAGATTGCTTGCTTGCTTTTGTGCCGTTCGGAAGCATTAATGAATTCGCAGTTTTTCGGCTGCAAAAGCTCAGATAATTATGTGCCGTACTTACTGATTTTTGATGCTGTTGTTTTACGGTTTGAAATACAGTTGCTTCTGCGAATGGAATCCAGCAGTCATTTTTTACCTTCTTCCGTGACCCCTTGCTACTCTCTCAGCAGAAATCAGTTTAAAATATGAAAGAATGCAGAAGTAGCGCAGGAAAACACTTCAGCAATCTTGCATTGCATAACTGAAAAATTTCTGAAATTTTCACGATATTTTATTTTAAAATCAGTTTTTTTTTTAGACCTATCGATTGCTGATGGGACAGCGTCGAGGTGGCGGACATGCGATAGGTCTGCATAGGCAGAATGCCGTGAGACGCTGGTCCAATTACGGACGAACAAACGATTTTGACGAACAGTCATTCCAGGCCGCTTCGTCAAGCCGGAGCGCACCCAATATTGACTTTGTTTCAGCGCGTCAACGCGTGAATTTGGTAAAAACTTGATTGTTCTAGCTTAAAGTGAAACGCTTACCAGGACTGAAACCGATGCAACGGTCACCAGGATTTCTTTTTAAGCGTTTCTAGTCCTCTCACCTCTTATCAGTGCTTCCCGCCTCTTATCCCTTCTGTACCGTTTCCGCCGCTGCCTACTCTCCTTGTTTCTGTTACATGTTCTTTCGTCCTCGGGCCCTGAGCTGCTCAAAAAAGGTGTTAATTTATGGGAAAACATTTCTTTTGAGAAATCTGTTAGCGACGAATATTGGGAATACCTGAAAAATAATTGTTGCATAAAAGAGGGCTTTTTTTGGGAGAGGGGGGG